CAGAATTAAAGATGAAAAAAAAAAAAAAGGTGCCACTCTAATACTATGAAACAAATTTATAAAGAACAAATGTTCTACCTATTCCATTTAGTGTTATGATATGTATATTTATATCATGAGAAAGTAAATGAATTTTTGTTCATATTAAAAATAATTAAAGGATGTTTTTTTTATAATTTAATTTTTAAATTTTTTTTTTGGTTATAAAGTTTCAAAGAATTAAAACACTTCCACATTTTCTCTTATGTGCTAAAAAACATGCTAATTTAATTTGTTTCAATTAATTTAAATTTGAATAGAAAAAATTCGGTTTGATTTTATTTTTGAAGCTTTTTAAATTAAACCCAATTTGAGGATCAAATATGTACCAAAAAGTAGTTGAAGATCGACTTACAAAAAAAATTTTACTACTATATCATTTTATACGTAACTATACTTAGATAAATATTTATCCTTATTTGTACCTTTGAACTCTTTTATATCTTAATAATTTGTATTTGATTCAAATGTAATTCGACCATTTTACATTATTGTGAAATTGTTTAATTGTGTAGATGTACTTCTCTTAGACTTCTATCATTTATATGGCTTGAACAAATTATATATATATATATATATATGAAATTCAAATTGAAATATATGGTAGACCATGAATTTCATATTTTCCACCTTTGGTAAATGTCAACCCTCATTTCAATAGCTCTTTTCTTACTTTTCTATTTGTGTTACTGTTTTTTTTTTTTAATTATTCTGGTGGGCTAAGCTTATTTCTTGGAGAAAAAACAAAGATTAAAAAGATTTTTTTTTAATGCGGTTGACGATGCCTAACAAAGGCCCTTTTTTCCATGATTGAATATATATGGTAGCCCAAAGCAAAAGCCTGACATTTTAAGGGAAAAGGGTTCCCCTAGATTTATCCATGCTTAATTCTATCATTTAACTAATTGTACAATCCAAACACATGTCTAAAATTTACCTTTTTTTTTTTTAAAGAGGAAGGATCTATTTACATCGACGCAAATTTTATATTTTATATTTTTGAATCAAAATTATTAAATTTAAAAATATTATTTTGATTCAAATGAGTTATAAATTTAATTTGATTCAAAAATAAAATATATATATGAATTATATTAATATAAGTGGATGTTTATTTTTGAGAAATAAAGAACAACTATGTATTTCAAGAAATAAGTGAACCTTAATTATTTAAAAGAAAAACTCTTAAAAATAAAATTCAAGTTTCGAAAAGTCAAGAGAAATAAGAGAAAATTACATGTATTTATCATTATTATTATTTTTTATAAAGAAATTCTATGAAAGTCGAGGAAATAAGCCAAATACTTGCGTAAACGAAACATACAGGCACATCCCATTAAAGCAAATGCACTTATAATTGAAGCAAATGTTGATGCGTAACACGTTTGAGTTCTACAAATCATATTATTGTTATTTCTGCTGATGGCTGAGATTTCTAGTGAGATGGGTGG